ACGAATTGTATCGACCAATATTCTGATCAAATTCATAGCCAAAAAATTCGATGCTTTCTCTACCAATTTATGATAAGTTTTTGTGATAAAAAAATTAAAATGATTTTACATTTTTCAAACAAAACCACTACATAAATCTTTCTATACGATGCTTTCTCTACGTCTCAAAGTGCGAATAAAGCGTCGACCGATAATCTCTAATAGGTAATCATATTAAAAAATATTGAAGAAACATTTGTTATCAATCATCCCAAATTTTATTATTAGCTATTCTCAATTTTCAAATAATATAATTGATTAATGTTGGAAAATGTTTTTTGATAAGATGATATTTTGATAAGACCTCTTAATCAACTCTACCTACCTAAACTAACCACCAATAGCAAGGCAAAAGAAAACACCTCTTTACCTTTGACGGACATTCTTTGCTTTGTTGATGTTGCATGGAGAGACCCTTCTAACATTGCAGATTAAGAGGTCTCAAACATGGTTTTGACAAAAAAGAATCTTAAACTTGGAATTGAAATTATGTAAACTCCATCGTACATGCAAAACACATATGAAAAAGATGGAGATGGTAAGATAAAGAAGGAAAAATTTGAGCAGGATTGAGATATTTAAAATCATCCAATGATCCTTAGAACCAAAATCATTAAAAAATTTATATAATTTTTTAACGATTCAAATAAATATGTAAGAATTATTTATTTAATAATACCAAGAGCTTCACCATTAAACCATGAAACTGCATAAGGATCAGTTTGTCTCCGACTGTCAGACTATAAAAGCAAAAGAAAAAAAAAACTCATTAAAATTATCGACTTCATGCTTGGCGTTTTGAAATTTAAACATGAAACTAAGAAAATCCAATAAAATTATTGAGATCTCAAAACTAAACATGAAACAAAGAAAAGCCAATAAAATTATTGAGGTCTCCAACTAAACAATGATAAAGTCTTAGAGATACAAAATCATGTATCCACCTATTTCAAGAATGTTCTTCGAATTGAAATGATTGGTCACAGACTAAGCTATTTGAATGTATACATGTCTGCAAAATATTCATCATGAAGATGGAACTTTTAGTTTAACCAAAACATAAAGTAATGAAAAAGCAAGAAAATTTTCAAGATACTAACCATTAACATCAAAAAATAAGTTCTGAATACGATATATTCACCAAAGAAATACTGCGCTCGTAAAGATTACATAACAATGTTTAACTGAAGCTTGCGGCAAATGACGTGATGGACATTTGAGGAAGGAGACATGGACCAATGAGAAGGAAACACTTTTGACAATGAACCCATTAAGATTTGCAATATCGGAAGTTAAAAATTTTGATAAAAAGGTATCGGAAGTTTTAAAAAAATATCAAATGATTATTTTGTTAGTCACCCTCTGGTGATATAGGTCATAGGTGGATGCTCGTTTAGGTTCTACAAAGTTCATAAACATATTCTGTAATAGATATAGAGTTATCTATTAGATTTGGAGGTAACAAAAATATATTCTCAAATCTTT